CACACACACACACACACACACACACACACACACACACACACACACACACACCAAGGTGTAACAAGTTACAATATATTTTTGTATAAGTGTAATGTGTGGCTGTGTGTGTGTGTGTTTGCATATATATAAGTTTGTATAATATATGTGTGTGTGTGAAACACCACACAGTGTTTCCTCCCAAAAAAAACACGAAAACCTACACACCAACAAACACGAGAAACCAAAATCAAAGGAAGAATCACTACCTGTGAGATAGCCGTCGTTCACGTAGAAAATGTTACTGTTGTTCTCATTGATGTCTGGGTCTGGGATCTCCACACTGGCTGACCGACGTGGCACGGTGTAGCTACGCTTCACCAGGGCCTTCTTCGACCTGGAATTTCATAGAAAAACCCAAAAACATAAAATGGGTTGGCCTCCTGTTCTGAATGTCACTCAACCAGACAGCCAGCACCCAGAGCCTATAATACCAAGTACTCAGGTCCAAAAAACTGCATCTCCATATGACGCTTAACGGTAACAGAGGAAGGAAAAGTAAAGCAAAGGTAAGTATTTTTCTCACCACCCTATCGAAAGACCCTAATCTAGTAAGCAAGAATTGGAGTGATGTCCCCGCTTTAGTTGCAGAAGGTTGTTTCCTTGTCATTTCTGATTGTCTATGTGTCTCAAGATGCGAAAGTCTCAAAGATCAAGTCTAGAGTCGATCAACACAATTTAGGTCATTTAGGTGCTGGGCTGCTTTCACCATGCCTATTAGGGATCACATGGGGTGAGAGGGGTACAACATTCGAGAAGACATAGGAGGGACTTCATAATACAGACACCCCTTACGGGAATCGAACTCATACCTTTCATGTGTCTGATCTCATCTAATGTCACAAAAACGCATCTCATCCTATCATTTTTCACATCATTTCATTTAAATTCACGCCATCTCATCTCTTCTCAAATCACTTCATCTCATATCATCTAATTTCACATGATGTCATCTTATTTAATCCTCTTTCATCTTATTTCATCTAATTTCACACAATCCTATCTCGTCTCATATCGGCTAATTTCACAATCAATTTCTCTCACTCAATCCCTAATTTTTATAACCTCATCTAGTCTCATCCTATCTCATCTCATCTCGCCTCGTCTCATCTCTTCTCATCTAATCTCACCCTAACTCATTTCTTCTTACCTCATCTCATCTCATCTCAGCTCGTCTCGTTTCTTCTCATTTCACTTAACTCGTCTCATCCCATCTCATCGCCGATTCACTCACTTGTATTTCCGTGACTTTTTCCTCGCCTCTATCTGCTCATCCAACTCTATAGCGGCGTCAATGGCGGCTTCCTCTGCCTGTTTGATCTCAGTGTCTATCTCGGCGTTGTCGCCTTCGTTCAGCGCTTCTTTGAATACTCTGCGGGAAGATCAAGTGAACATACGTTCGAAACTGTCTAAGACGGCCACACAGTCTCAAGGGAAAATATGAACCGTCTCAGACAGGGGGGGGGCGTCTTACAGTGTCTTTTTAATGTTTATAAAAAATATGGAAGGAAAGAAATGGGAAGTGGCCGTTTGTACAGGTGATTGTCTTATACAGGTAACCGTTAGAGCAAGTTTGAATGTGCATGAAAAAGGGTGAACACATAAAAGTACGTCCAAAAGAATACTGATAAAACCACCATGAATGCATGCACCAACACCGAAGTCTGCAGAAAGGCGGAATATCATTCTGGTTTAACACTTTCTAATTGCAATAGAATAATACAGCTACAAATGAAGCTGCAAGATATGTTCCAGATGCCTCGCATTTCAAGTAATGAACATTCTGGCGCACGAAGTGAAAAACACAATGACGCGTTGACACTGCTCACGATAACTCAATGGTTGTGAATGTTTTTTGTTTGTTTGTTTTGTTTATTTTGATTGTTTGCCCTCATTGACGCATTCTAGTCTGTTTGTTAACGTTATTGGTATTAATCCTTTTGAAGTGACACGTATGGGTGTCTTTTACTGATTGATATCAAGAAGATATCTTAATATTTTACGCCCCCTTCCACCCAATTCAGGTCATTAGTGGAGTTGGGTTCATTTTGAAGTAACACTCGCCAGTAACGTTGACAGATCGTGAATGATTGCAAACATTTCCCTCCTTTCGACGCATCATGTCGACTTGCTGTTCAAGATTTTAACACGTTGTGCCGTCACAGAAGGCTAAGAGGTATAAATAGATACAGGAGATAGAAAATAGAGCAGAGTCAAGAGGCATATAGTTGAGAGGTGGGATGGGATGAGAACTATCCTTTTTAGTAAGATAGCTTTGGCGGAGACTGTTGCAAAGGAAGGAAAAGAGAGGTGGGTGGGGCAAGAGGACCGTTTGAACAAAAGTAGAGGGGAAACGGAGAAAGAAAGGGAGACAGGAGAGTTATAGAAAGATAGAAGAGTGAGAAATGTTAAACACAGCAAGAGAGACAGACGGGGATAAACAGAAGAAGAGACAGGCAGAAGCAGAGAAAAAATAGAAAAACAAACAAAAACAGAGAAAGAGGGGGGAAAGCGAAGGACAAAAGAAAAGAGGGCCGAAAAAACACAAATGTATCTGTATCCTCCTCCCCC